TATATATATATATATATAGGTCAGAGCGAGTTCTTGGTATGTATTTCAAGACATGTCTACAATACAAATAAGCACATTAAAGGAGCGTTTGGTGCACCAAAAAAAAAATTATTTTCTTAAGAATCTGACATCGAAAATCTTAGATTCCATGATGTTAAAATCTCATATTTAGTTTGTTATTTAAAAAATAATGTTCCTAAAACTCATTGTTTTTTTGACAATTTTTTTTTCATAGGTTTTCCACAAATATATTTTCACAGGTGAGATATTAACTTTTTCGATGTAAAAATAAAATTTTAGTAAAACGTCACGTTACCTAAATAAACATTAAAGAAAATATTAATGATCAACCAAACAAAATTTTATAATTTCTGAGAATTACCGTGTATTAAACACTTGCTAAGTGTGTGTTTGAAAAAGTTGTAAAAATTTTATTATTTCAATAATCAATTATGTGTATAATTAATTATTGTTATAACCAATTATAATCAAAATAATTTTATTTGGATAAATTTGCTGAAAAATAATTTTTAAATGTTTAATTTCATGTTTAATCAAACTTCTAAAAAAATTTATGTTTATGGTTGAATTTCTTTTAGACAAACAATAAATATTAAGATCTTTACTTTATATATTTACAAATTAAAGTTTAAAGTTTATAAATTTGACCTAAATAAAAATTTACTCTCTTTAAAATAAAACTATTTAAATTTTAATTCTCTTAATCTTATTTATTTGTTTTTTATTCCTCTTGATTTTATTTATTTTTGTTTTGATCCTCTCAGTTTAATTTTCATTTTGATAAGTTGTTATATTTTTTTCTACCTTTGAAAATAAGATTTAATGGTCATGCTGGCAACAAAAACAAAAACGAAAGAAACAAATTAAACAAGGAAGAAAATAATATTTTTTAAAAGGACTAAAAATAAAAGTAGACTGGGCCAAGAGAGTGAATTACCACAGGTGGCCTCTTCATAGGATGGAAAACGACAACGAGCTGATAGGCCACTGTAGTGAAGGGCCAGCCATGTGGAAGAGGGGATACTCCTTCCTTTCTCACTTGCATCATTTCCCCCACCTTCTACCCAATATAAAAGACAAAATTTCAATAAATCGAGGTTGGCCTAATTTATTCATTTTTTAATATTTTATTTAATTTGTAAAAAAATAAAATACTAGGTTAAATAACTGATCCTAAACTCTAAATCCTAAATCTCTAAATAATTGATCCGTATAACTCATTTGGTATAAGCTAAATTGGTCTATTACTTTTCAAAAAAAAAAAAAAAAAAGATTTTTGAGAGATTCAGTTTGACCATTATTGAATCGTTTTATTTTGTCGATCGTTTTTACAGTTTACTTATTATGTTTATACATTTCTTTTTCCTTTTTTACTAACCATTATATAGAGTCTGATGTCTGTACTAGTTTTTTTTTTATATTTATTTTTTCAAACCATTTAACTATGCCACACTTAGAAATATGGAAAAAGATCCATAGAAATTGAGAGGGAGAGACGAGAAATTATAGATAAATAATTGATATGGTTAATGATGAAATGTAACAAAAATAAAAGAAATAAAAAAAAATAGAAAATGTCAATTAGGTATTCTTAGAAATATATACACCATTAGAGAGAGAGTCTGTGCTTCGTACGGTGAGGTAGAAAAAAAGAGTATGCAAAATAGGAAAAATGAACTCACAAACACAATGCACCAAGTAACAACACAATGAAGTAAAGTTTTCAAAGTAGGCTCTCAAACCCAACTTCGAGTTGTAAGAGTAGAGACCTTAATGGTGGGCTTAAGCTATAAAGGGGAAGGGCTTTTACTATTTACACCTCTAATTTATCAAGTACACCTTCATTTCTCTCTATTTGTTAACACATTTCTCATAATATATTTTTTATTTATCCTTTTTCTTCAAATAATTTTCCCCTTTCTTCTAAAAGTTATTTCATCTGTTTTTCAAGAAATTATTTTTTTGGAATCGGTATATGATATTCTGAAAAATATTCTTTAAAATTATTTTAATTTAAAAAATTACTTTTCAGAACAACATATACCAATTACAAAAATTAATTTATAGAACTATGTAATTTGTTAAAATATAGTTTTAGAAACCATTTTATGGAATTGATATATATTATGTTGGAAAGTAATTTTAGTATTCATAAAAATATACCAAAGCACGATGTTTTTTAAGTGAAATTTAAGTTGAGGGTCACATTTAAAATTTGCACCGTAATAATTATAACTTGTTAGTATTTTTTTTTAATGTGTATAAAAATAGTAATATCTAGTGTCTTAAAACTAAATGTAAAATAAGTGGATATTGGATGTACCATGTAATGCAAAGGAAAACCTAAAGTATCATTTAAGTTCAATAAAACCACATATTCACGACTTTCATAGAAATTATAGTATTATACGATTGATGTTTAAAGAATAATGATTTTAGGGGTGAAGACGAGAATTCAAAATTAAAGTTTTAAAAATAATAAACATGAGACGTAAAGATAAAATTTAAAATATAATAAATATGAGTAAAATAATGATATATTTAATTATAAAAAATATTCTAGAAAAAACGATTTCACATAAAAGATAAAATCAATATGGAAGTAGGTCGGGTCTTAAATAGGGATCTATGATCTATTCTCTTTAATGGTCTAGTTTGTTTAATAAAGAGGTTATGTTTAGACTTTTAAAAAATATATTTATATAAAAAGGTCAGACTTAGACTTAGAAAAAAGTCTATTAAGCTTGATAGATCAATCTATTTATTTATATAATAATAATAATAAAATTATATATATATATATATATAAATTGGTTTGATTAGAATTAATTCAAATTTTAAATATATAAATTTAATATTTAAATCAATTTATATATTTGCATATAACTTATATATATATATATATATATTGTTTTGGCCAAGGGAGCGTCTAGGGTTCTTCTCCTAGGTCAGGCCTCCAAAGGCAGAACATTCAAGAATGTAATCTGCCGTCTTAACTCTAGGGTTTTAGGTTTTATACTTTTCTGTTCATGGGCCACCTGAGCTTTGTGAGTGCGAGGATTTCCATAACGATTTTCCTTGGGAATATTTGATTATCAAAGATAGGCTTTTCATCCTTGATTCTCAGACCAGTCCAAAGGGTGAGACCCACTCGGACTTTGGCCGACCATACCCTGGTCGAGCTCATCATGGCCAAGCACACCCTGACCGATCTCACCATGGCCGAGCACAGCCTGGCCGATCTCACCATGGCCGAGTGCACCCTGGCCGACCATACCCAGGCCGAGTTAGTCCAAGGGGTGGGTGAGATCGCGGTCTGATTGATCTCGCCTGCCGACCGAGAAGACCCATATTCAAGATTCATCGGATCAAAACCTGTAAAGGGTATCAGATCGGGATCTGACTAGGACGGTACACTTGCCTTCCAGCCCTAAGCCTATAAGGTGCAAGGGCTTAACTGTTCCTGAGATCGAGTCCAGATCGGATTCTGACCGAACTCCCCCAAGATCACCCTCGTGGGAGGGGATCAGGTCAGATTCCGATTGTTTCCATGCCTGGGCCAAAATCAGGTCAGCCTTTTTCCGACTCCCCCCTTGGTGTGCCGATATGGTACACTTGCCTTCCAGCCCTGAGCCTTATAAGTGAAAGGGCTTTAAGGAATTACTCCCCAGGACTGTATCAGAATTATACCGAGATGGTACACTTGCCTTCCAGTCCTGAGCCTTATAAGGCGTAGGGGCTTAGCTAGCCATGATATTAGATCAATGCCTACGTGGGAAGGTTATATCAAATTCTGACCGAGACGGTACACCTCCCTTCAAGCCCTGACTTTACGTTGTATTGACGCAAAATTATTATTATTTTATTAAGCGTATTACTAGATTTCGATTCACTGATCATCATTATGCATTATGTGGGAGAGAATAACCGAGACATTCGTCGATATCATGAATAATGGAGAAAATAAACTAAGTTAACAAATTTCATTTTGGTATACCATGTCATCCAAATTCCGATTGGAAGAAAATAAACTAAGTTAAAAAATTTTGTTTTGGTATACCATATATATATATATTAAAATTATAAATAAACAAAAAAAATTATAAAATAAAAATAGATTATTAATATTTAAAATATTTTTTTATACAATATTTTTTTCATTATAGGTTTATAAGTTTATGACTTGTGCATAAGTCATGAATTGTTCTTTCAATAGAGAATGATTCAATTTTTCTCCTATATTTTTTTTAAAAATTTTAATTTTAATAATTGAGTAAACTATATTTTAAAAATAATTTTGTTGATTTTTAAAAATTAAGTTTATTAGCTTAATTAACATTAATAATTTAAATAATTTTTTTTAAAAGACTAATAGGAATAGGTCAGGCCAGACTTTCAAAAAGATCAGACCTATGAAAAAAAGTTCATGATAGATAATAAGTTAGACTTTAATTTTATAGAATAGGTCTAACTTTTATATTCAAAGTCTGTCCTAACCTGATTTATTCTCATTCTTACTAGACACTAAGTTCACAAATATCAATTAATTGACATGATTAGGACTAATCAAGCCTATATACTTACCAATTAACTCTTGAATATGTCAAAAATTCTTAATAAATGTCACCCTTTTGTTGGTATTATCTTATATATAGACTTATTCCCAATGCCTAAATATTAGGTGTTTTTCTGTTGAAACTTTTTTCGACACCCTTGTAATCTTGATTGTCATGGTTGCGATCCGAGCAATTGAACAAAATGGCAACATAACTCTCTCCTAAAATAACTTGCCACAACAATAGTTGAACTTAAGTGACAAAATGAAATCCAATATAGAAGTCTATAAGTGGAGGAGGAAATCTAGTCAGGTAGTGAGCGAGGAGAATGAAAGGCCCTGAAATGAGTCTAATGTTGATTCTAGCAATCAAACATGTGAGCAATGACGGACGACTGTAAAAGCTACCTACAAACATTTCAACACCAAGTCACTCAGAATTTCAGCGAAGTAACATTAAGTTATACTTATAGTGAGCAAAGGGCAATATAAGAAAGAAAAAAAAGTTATCTTACATGAACAAGTTATTATAAAGTATGTTGCAATAGATTTGTCGCATGTTTAGGGTTTAGGATTTATATGTTGTTAGATCAAATTCAGTTTGGTAAAGTCGATCCTACAAGATTAAGTTAAGATATGTTATTTTCATTAGTTAGATGACTCGAGAAAAAGATTTAACCTAAAAATTTTTTTCCATAATATAGAGTTTAGGAGTCAAACTGGTCGATATAAAATATAAAATTTTACATTGACTTGTGACTTTCATATGTTAGTGTCAAAGTTAATTGTCAACTACAACTTATTCATATCAAAAGTAAGAATTTTTTGAACTCTTTCTTATTGTTTATCTTATGTTATATTTTTCAATTTACTCATTGATTATATTTGTGAACCTTAATTAGGAGGAAGAATCGCGTGCAACTTCCACAAGTAATTAACTTTGAATAAATACAAAGGTTGAACAAAAATCTTAAATAGAAGATATGAGATTTACAGGAATTTATAAGAAAATTATAAAACATTTAATTTACATACACTCCCATTACTAATACACATTACTCATGGTTTTTTATTTTTACACTCTAATTCCTAAAATACACTTATACAGCATTTCAGACATAACAACACTTTCTATATCAGTGGATTTGATGCAAGGAAAAACAATAAGAGTGAGAACTCACTTACCTCTAGTTTTGATTATGCGAAGTGGCTGAGAATTTGGTGACAAATTCTCGGAGGAGACGAAGAAGAGTGAACTGCATTGCATTAACAAAGAAAGAAAAAGACAAATGATAAAGGGAATGTGAGGAAGATGACAGTCAACTAAGTTTTTCCCTTGGGTTTTGTGAACAAATACAAAACTATCCTTGTACGGAAATGCTAAAGGAATAAAGAAAGACAAATGAATAGATAGAGTATAATAAGAAATTATATAAAAGATTAATAAAAAAATTTATTATATTTTTAATATGCATAATATTATAACTACAAGCGATAAATAAAAATATAATGAAAACACTTTAATTTTCTTAACATGAAAAATAATATATTTCGTATAAGCCTATGAAATAGTAAAATACATTAATTTAACCCAGCTTTTAAATTTTAATGGGACGAAACCAGCTTTTAAATTTTAATGGGACGAAACCAGCTTTTAGGTTTATTTCATTATATTTCATAATATTTCTTTTAATCTATCTTATTTTTTTATTCACTATTATATATTCAAGCAATAAACTTCAAGACACCGGTTGGTAATTAAAATCGACATCAAAGTATGTGTTGTATAAAGTTTTATGGAAATTTAAAAGCATTAAATGACTTTAAGTATGAAATTAAATATAATCATTTATTATATTAATTATAATGTATTAAACTATTCAATATTCTATTGTTTTATTAGATGGAAAGATAAGAAAGAAACAAGAAGGAAAAAAAAAAATCTTTTAAGAAATATGATATATTTTCAATTTTTTAAAATAATAGAAAGAAGAAGAAGAAAAACTGATTATCTAGAATGATAGTAGTATTTTGAAATGGAGTCTATAAACTGGTATAACTATTTTTGTATAATGGTAACAATCAGGGAAGAAAATGGCTCTGGAGGAATGGAGACTCTTTTTACCTCCCTCATATCATTAATGATAATAACTTAGGTTAGGTGAAACTATTGAGAGACCTTCATCTTATCTTTCCTTGGTTTTGTTTTAGCTAACTTATTTTTGTGCTCAATTTTTATTTAATTGTTTTAGTTTGTTTATATTATAAAAAATCAATTAATTTAAAAATATTACAATGTTATCATTTTAATTCAATTTAAACTAAAGATGTTACTTTCTTGTATACACGACACAATAAAAGAATAACATGTTTTATATCACATGTAAGTAAAATTGATCAAAATCGGAAAGAAATGATAACATTTTATTACTTTTAAAAATTAAAAGAATAAATTAAATATTTTAATATTAAAATGATCAAAACTAATTAAATAAAAAATGGAACAAGAGACTAATTCAACTGTCTGTTTTTGTGATTTTTTTCTTATTTCTTGTACATAAAGAAGGTTATTTAATATTGTACAGGTAGGGGCATTCGGCCACCTCTCTATCGGCCAACAGTATTCCATTAACATCATATAGGTAGTTTCCGTTTTGTAAAAAAAAAATCAATAAAAGAAATCTCATCTTTACCATGCATCATCCCCCTTTAGATAATAGAAACATGATAAAGATTATGCAAAAAAAAATGACATGCATTCTAGATTAGCTCATTAATTTCATTCATTTTATTTTATTAGCAAAGGAGGATTAGGTTGTCGTATGTATAAAAAGTTAAGAAAAGTGAATGCTCTAATATACGACAGTATCTGCACTATAAAAAGGCCCAAATTAATTTGTTAAAAATACTGTGGTTGGGCCCTTGCTTTGATATGTTTGTTGAAGTAAGTCTTCTTAGAATCTAATATATATTCTCACTTAATACTGTTGAAATCTATTTGAGCATTCACAAATAAACATCAATGAGACTAATATTTATTATTCTCAACTTTCTCTACATTCTGCATTACATTCATTTAGAACATATTCCTTCTTGTAAAAGAATAAATGAGAATAAAAAGGGAAATTAACCTATGTGCGTTAATCGGAAGTAATGGAAGCAAGCCATGCATAAAGAGTTGAGGGTAAAGAACTCCACAATCATTAAGACGCCAACTCTTACCCTAAGAGGATAAAGTCGTGTCGTGC